CGTGCTCTTAGCAGGGATAGCCTCTGTATCCTTGGTCAGATCTGCCTAATTTTTGCCTTGTTTTGGTAATTTTAGCTCTGTTTTCTTCGTTGTTTCTGCAGCTCTACCAACTGATTTTGGACATGGAACAAAGCATTGTAAGTTAACTGCCTGTTTGCCCCTTTAATTTCACATTATATTCAAACTTTCCCCATAGGAATTTAACTACTGTAACCGAAGGCCTCTTACACTAAGCTTTTTGTGTTTATGCTGGTAGCATGATTTGTCCGGTTTTTTTCGGTAGATCAAATTAAAGAGGGGGCAAAAAGACGGAGAAATAGGTTCTTACCGAGGAATGTTAGCTTCCGTCCTCAACTTCAGGTTCGGGCTTTGTTGTTATCGCCTCGAATATTCTCGATCATCATCTACTTTGGAGTCACTAATTTTTGACTTCCAGAGTACTGGCGTCGGGACATGAATCGCCGAACGCTTCTCGGCGAAAAAGCCTATAAGATGCCTGCACGCTCAGTTGATAGTTTATTTGTCAACGGTTGCCGTCTATATATTGGAGTTCTCCCATAGCACAAAGTATAAGAATAAAATGCGTGGTTCTGCCGCATAAGAAAGCTATTCGATATCAGGCAACCTCCGATTTAGCCAAAAAGCTGCCCATTATCTTTAAAAAAATAAACTGAACGCGCTGTTTTCCTTTCTTAAAGAACTCAGAATCATATCTACTCATTGGATAAAAATAGCATGACAAATCATATGCTTAACTATCAAGTTCAATTTCGATCACGAATTTGCATGAATTATTACGAGGGTTTGGCAGATTTGAATAATTCAGTTGACGCAATTGTGAAAAATTTGCGGCCTCGGTGGGAGTCGAACCCAAACACAGTGAGCCTAGTAGTCATTCTGGCGGATTCTATATGATTGTTTAGGAAATCCTTCCAGGGCAGCCTTCTTACTGTTTCCGTAAGGTTGGACGGATAAATCGACCCAAGTGTGATTAAACTTACGGCTTATGGTCAGCCTCGTAGCTCAATGGTAGAGCGTTGGCTGTGCAAAAACCTTCCCTGCTGTGTAGGTTCGACTTTCACCGAGACCGTGATCATTTTACAATTGGATCAACTAAATTTGCATGAATTATCTCACCTACTGCTTACGCAAGTACGTTGGCTAAGTAGCCTGTTCGTGTGGCCGTTGTTACCTTGAAACTGCAAATTATTTGGATATTTATGCCCAGCCTCTCACATTTTAGGCCTACATGGAGAGTATACCCGACTTTGAGGACCGTCTGGCTCTTCTCAACTCCACAAAGGACCGCCTAGAGGCCCTGGTGGCGCCGCAGTTTATGGAGCTGCTAGACACTCACGACTTCTCCGAGGAGGACACAAGCAGGCTTGACGCCCTGCGCCGACTGATTGCTATTTTCGCGGCCGTTCGACGCAGCGATGTAGCAGTTCGCTACTATACTTCCTGGTTCTCGGTGAGTGCTGCCGAAGCATTTCAACCAGAACTCCCGTCATGTCCGTTCTTAGATGCCTCGCGCTTGCCGACTGGTAGATTGAGCTTCAGCCTGCAATGTGTCCTCTTGTCGAATTTCGACATCCGGACAAACTAACAAAGCGTCTAGCAACTGTTATCCCAAAATAGTAATGACGTTACACGTAAAAGTGATAAAGGGATAATATTGAGTAAAAAGCACAAACGTAATAATTGTCAGCAAGTCCAGTTGGATCTGTGAGGAGGTAAAGCCCTGATTGCCGTGATGTATGCTCTCTCGCCCGTAACCAGTCAAATGAAGCGGAAGTATCGGATGACTGCGAGCTTAC